TAACCGCAAACGCCCGATTCGGGTTGTTAGGCTTTCGTACAAATCGATGTTCATGGCCAAGTGCGTATTGACGAGGACACCTAGTCCGCCGACGTCTCTGCTGTCGCATATTCCAGGGAACAGTTCTTCTCCAGTCTCAAATACAGCGTGCAGCGGGCGATGCCTTCTCGCCTCGGTCAGTTCGATGACGTCGTACTTGATCTTCCTAGCTTGCATCATCAGGTCTTCTGTACACGCTTCCGATGCAAGCGTCCGTGCGTTGAAAGTACATATCGCCATCTTAGTTCTTCTCCTTTTGAGCAGCCTGTTTCAGCCCTGGTTTTTAACAGCCTCTCTCGAGTGGTAATACCCAACGCTGCCATATTGGGGGCTCCCTCAGGTTCAGGGGAATGAGGTCCATTTTTATTACTGTTTTTGGCATGCGAATTCCCATCGTGTAGCTTGCTAGGCTCTGACGTGGGGGTTTGACGAGGGCCTTTGTTTTTGCAGGCGGCCCCGTATCGCCTCTCAGATACTTCCCAGTCACTCGAATGCAAGCTTTTGGCCGAGTCGATGGGCAGGATACCAACTGCACCCACAGACTCTCCACACACGTGGATACGCCTGCAAGAAACAGAGGGTATATCGACCCAGCACAGCAGAATCATGGAGTCCATCCCCTGAATCCATCTGCGTCTCTGCCAAGTACCGGTGACTTTTGTTCGGCGATTATTTCCCCTATCCGCCAACTCGGGACGCCCTACGTAGCCTCGTCACTAACCAGCTGGGGATCCTTCAGTGAGAGAGAACTCAGTGAAGGAGATCCGTAGTTCTGGGTATGTACAACCTCAAAAAGGTCAAGCTTCACGATAGAGCTGTCAAATGCCAGATTGCAACAGTAGGGTTGCCCAATCCCGAAATATAAAAGGCAACCCTTGTATATATTATACACTTGGGCTACGCAGGCTAATGCATGCACCACATGCCCACTACCGCTTATCTACTACTTGTTAGAGGACCAACAAGAACCGTATCGGTTGACTTCCCATTTCATAACTGTTTCCTCACCGCGCTCACGTGCCTTCGTGACTTTCGGGGGGGGGGGGGGG